TATTTCGAATGACATTTATTATAAAAATCAAATACGATTTATTACATATTATATATAAAATGATTATATATGTGTTATATATACAAAATATATGAAAAAAGTAATATAAAAACCAAAACAAAAGTAAGCAAATTTTTATTCGAATTGCCATAAATATATTTAAGACTTCATATTTTATTGTTCTCTTTTAAAATATTTAAAGTCAATAACTGTCGTATTAAGAAATCATTACCAATTCATAAAACAACATTTAAGATCCGCTTATCAATTTTATCTCACAATTGGTTTATTGGTCACTTAAATATGATGTGAGGATAAAAGCTTTCTTCAAGTAAAGTAAGATACTTTAAACTGAGTACGTAAAATATTTTGGAAATATTAAAGAGAATTAAAAAGTTGCAGCTAAATTATAAATTATTTATCATATAAAACAAATATATTTAAACGGCTTGCCATATCTTATGAAAACTACACACATTTATGTTGTATAAGAATTCAGTTTAGTATAAAGAGAGTAAAATAAATTCGAAAAATATAAATAGTCGATTCTCTATACTTTAATACTTTAATAAGTCAAACACATATCTTTTAAAATTCTTTTAAAATTCAAGTGCTAACTTAAAAATTTCTCAATTTAGGAAAATGTTTAAAAGCAATTTATCATAGTCGAAATCTGTACATATATACTTATATATCAATATCTATACATATATATACACATATATATATGTATATAAAACAAGTCTACAGTGATGCTAATTTCATTTGGCATATTCAATTAAACCTGAATGAACATAAAACATGAATTCTACAACTGGATAAACCTATCACTAATCACTCAGCTTCAGGTGTATTCGTTTTAATTCAATCTGTCAGTTTTATATATATACTCAAACTAAATATTAGTCTATAATTATCATTGTTATGTTGTGATAGCTAACATTTTAGTGTTCACAAAGAATGGATAAAGCAAAGTAGAAATAAATTAGAGCTTCTTCAAGGAATTCTTTTGCTCTACACTTTTATGAAATCCCATTGGAAAATTGTCATTTTATGTAGTAATACAAAAATATATCAAATTTGTAAGTGATTTGAAAATATAATAGTATAACATGTATTTCGTAATTATTATAAAGAAAACATTAACTTGACAAAGGTTTTATTTAAACTTCCGTTAGGTATAACACACAGTTCTATAAGAAGAATCTAAAGCAAGAATTTGGAAAATATGTGCGTATAAGAAACACATTTAATAATAATTATTTTCCTCATGCATTGTATTGTCAGATATAGAATTGGAATATTTCTATAAAAGTTTAGCAAATATCTATTTCATAATACCTTCTCCACATTCAGTGTAAATATCATTCTATGCCTAAGCTTGTCAATTTAGATTTTGATTGACATATATATATAACTCCCATTCCATATTATTATACATTATCAAAGATTTCTATATACTTACTCTTTAAACAGGTAAAATTTAATCCAATTCGTGAAAAATGTTTTGCTCTGCGAGCTGTTCTCAATTTGTTTCTGTTTCATGCACTTTATAAATAAGCAGAAATATTTATGTATATTTATAGCTATATATGCATACAGATATATATGTATATTCCTTTGAATTGCATTGGTACTGTGTAGGAGAAACACTGTGGGCTTTGTTTGATTCACATTTGGTTAGATTTGCACAGACATTGACGGTTTAATGCCGTCGTTAAAGCACGCGTTTTGCGTTTGGCTTGCAGTTAATTTAAATAGTAATTAAATTTATAAGCACCGGAATTTACACGTGAATATTTAAGATTTTAACGCTGCTTTTACGGCTGCGACGGAAGCTAGATCGCAGAGGGGAACGGGGGCGGGGTAAGCGGGACAGGGGAACGGGCAAGGGAACGAGATCTGAACGCGAAGCGTACACAAAAACATTTGCTCGCGCACTCAATGAAAATATTTTCGCTAAATCCACAAATGCCAAATTCCATAAATTCTTGCGACTCGGCAGCGCGGCAAACGGCGACGGAGACTGCGACGTAGACTGTGTCGGAGATGGTGGAGACAAACGGCCGATGCTCGCAATCGCAATCGCATTCGCATTCACATTCACAATCACATTCACAATTAGTTTACGTTACGTCTGCAGCATTAGTTTAGCTCCAAGTGAAGGTGGAAGATGCATTGACGACGGCGATGGCGTCGCCGATTTCGAATAAATCTTTTAATTACACTCAGACCGAATTGCATTTGCTGCGATCGCTCACTTTTTGGCTGGGCTTGAGATGAGAACGCGTCGAAGAGTACGCGAGCGGAAACGCCGCTGCCGCTCGATTGGAAGGGAGAAAACAAACTGGCTGCCAGCTGCTGGCTGTTGTTCGATGGATGCAGTCGCGACGGCGGCAGCGGCGCAGCAGAAGCGCAAACAAAATGGCATTTCGAGCAATTGCCGTCTCGCTCACCACGACCGTCGCATGCATGAGCCAGAGCGAGACAACTGGTGTGTGCGCTGTGCGCCAGCAATAAGCAACGCCCACTTGTGTTCGTGTGTGTGTTAATGTGCCATTTACGTGCAGTGGCTGTTGTTGTTGCTGTTGTTATTGCCACTGCTGCTGCTGTTGCTGTTGTTAGTGTTGGTGCGCGGTGTCTGAACAAACGATGCCGCGGTGTGAAAATAAAATGGAGTGCGTCTCAATTGTGTCTTGAAGTAGACGGACTCTCGTACTCGAATATCAGGAAATATTTGCTCCTGCCCTGTTCTTCTCTCTCTTTCTGTTCCGTTCTGCTCTGCTCTGCTCTGTTCTGCTCTGGTCTGTTCTGTTATGGTCGGGCTCTCGGCTGCTTGTCGCACTGTTGTCTGATTTTAAAGTCCGTTTCGGCGATAGCAGAAGCCACGCACAGTTGCTGTGCAACACGTACGTACGTACGTAACGCACACAGATTGAAAGGAATTTGTATTCGTCCTTTTGTTTGACCGAAAAGTATTTGCCAACTGTGTCAACAGTGTTCCAGTTGGACACAACGTGACGTATACGTACGTCGTATTGATAATAATCTGATTGAGACTGAATAAAATTTATTGTGCTCTCCTCGTTGACAAGGTGTTTGTGTATGTGTGTGTGTGCGTGCATAGCGAACACTTATCCGATAAGTTGAATAGAGTATGTCAAACAGCTCTCAGTGAATCTTCATCAGGCTCATGGACAATGCATTAACATGTTTGTTTTATAATGAACTCTTAATCAATGGCCGACAGAAATAAATTGCACAAAATAACAACTTTAATTGTGGCAATCAAATATATATACATTATGCGCAATGCTTAACTTATCTAATTGCAGTTAAAGTAACTTTCTCTGCACTGTCAATAAATAAAATCTATTATAATAAAATATATATTTAATTCAAGAGAATCACTTGTACTAACAGAATGTGTCAGAGATAAGCTGAGAAATTATTTGACTTTAAGGCTCTTTCTTTATTGTTAAGTAAGGATTTAGAAGCAAACGGGATGAGCACATACCTAAAAGAAAGATGTATGGTGAAGGTCGAAAGAATTTTTTATTCTACTTATATTATAAACCGTCATCTATGGAAAGGATAGGATCCCAGAGATAAATAAGCTGTCAACAAGTTTCCTCATTTGACTTGTCTTCTCTTTGAAGATTCGCTGTTCATAAAAAAAGTAGTAAAATTACTCTATGAATACGATTTTTCTTTTGTTTAAAACAATTTACGATAATTTAATGAAATAAACATATTCAGTAAATAATCAAATAGTATTTATATA